ATGAAGATTATAAAGACTGCCTGCTTAGCAGGAGAGATCAAATGAGAAAAATGAATGTTATAAGATCACATTTACATGATGTTTATACAGAAGAAATAAACAAAATAGCACTCAGTGCAGAAGATGATAAAAGATTTATTTTAGAAGATGGTAAACATACATTAGCATACGGACATTATAAATTAAAATAAACAGGCAGGTAAGTGATTTTTTTATTTAAAAAATCTAAAACTATTAATAAAAATGGACAAGCATATCAATGTTGAAGGAATCATATTACCAAATGAACCCTTAACAAACTTTCAGTTAATCAAAGCAGCAAAAAAATTAAAAATAAAAAATTTTAGAGGTGTATTTGTAAGAGATGAATTACCTAAAAATGCACAAAACAAAGAATGTGGAATAATAAACACAGGAGATTCAAGTACAAATGGATTTCATTGGATTTGTTGGTATAAAGACAGAGATGTGAAATATAGTTTTGACTCTTATGCACTACAACCTCCAGTTGAACTTGTTCAATATTTAAAAAGTCCTGTTTATTATAATAGTGAACGAGTTCAGTTTGGAGACACTTCATTTTGCGGACACTTGTGTCTCTATGTTTTAAAAAAACTAAATGAAGGAAATGATTTTCAAAGTATTATCAATACACTTTGGTAAAAAAAATAATGAGTATATAAAATGAGTGTTGATATATTCGGTAATTCAGTTTTCGGATTAACTGCTTCTAGTCAATCTGAAAATTTAAATCTTAATATTAATATAGATAATAGAGCAACTTCTGACATGGATTTAAATATGCATAAATTAATTAATGTATTAGATCCTACAAATCCTCAAGATGCTGCTACAAAAGATTATGTTGATAATAAACAACTTTCTAGTAATTTGTATCTAAGAACTGATGGACAGAATCGTGCAACTGGTAACATTGATTTAAATACACATAAATTAGTTAATGTAGATGAACCAACTAGCCCTCAAGATGCTGCTACAAAGAGCTATGTTGATAATAAACAACTTTCTAGTAATTTGTATCTAAGAACTGATGGACAGAATCGTGCAACTGGTAACATTGATTTAAATACAAATAAACTCATCAATGTTGCAGATCCTACTGATCTTCAAAATGCAGCTACAAAAAAATATGTTGATACAACATATGAATTTGTTACAAATTATATAGAAAGAATAATTCCTTATCCTCGTAAATATAAAGTTCTAATTGTAGCTGGACAATCAAATACTTATTATGGTAGAGAATGGGGTCATTCTGAAGCAATAACTACTGTAAACTATATGCATAGACGAATAGTACAGTTTGCAATGAATAATGGACAAAATGATGTGTTACTTCCTTGTTCTCTTAGACTAGAAGTAAATGAATCAGATAATATGTGTTATTCTGGATACGGTTCAATACTAGCCGGTTTAATAATGCAAGATTCTTTAGGTGCTAATACTTTAAACATTGTTAATTCAGATGAATGTTTAATGATACTTCCATGTATGTTAGGTGGAAGAGGCTTTAGCGATGATTATTTTATGCCATATGGTACTGGATTTAGAAATTTAACTCGTAGAATTAGATATATTTTATCACATTATAACGCAGAATTTTGTGGCATAACTTGGAGTCAAGGAGAAAATGATTCTATAGATGGTTGGAATTTTAGTTATAGACATATTCTTGTAAATTTTATTCAAACCATAAGAGATTATATAGGGTATTCATCTAATCAGTTCTACACATTAACAAATTCCCAAGCAAAATCGAATACAATTCCATTCGTTACTTTTCAAATGATACCTGGATGGGTTTCAGCTAATTCAGCAAGAGCAACACCAGTTCAAAATGCGCTATCAACTATTGGAGAATATATTCCACACACTGCAAGCATATCTATTACTAATCTTCCACCTTCTATGAGAACTACAAACGATGACACCGTACATTACGACTCACGTCAACAAATTTTTTTAGCTCAACAATTTTATAATGCATTAATTACAGCTAAAAATAATTCATATGCTAACAGTATTTATATACCAGGAGAAACGCTACTTGTTAGGCAAGTGGTAACAGATTTATTTCCAAATAACTATTATGGAGCATATAATCATGATAGTCCTAATCCAACTACAGCTACAAAATATAGTCAGTTATCTAATAACTATTTTTATAAAAACAAAGATGGATATTATAAATATCGCTTAAGATATAAAAATAATGGTGAATGGAAAAGTATTATATTTAAACAAGCATTCCTCCCAATGATGTCTATGCATTATCAAAATATTGCACAACTCATATCAACTGAAACACCATTCGGTAATACAAATTCAGAACAAGGATTTTGTGGATTAAATTTAACAACTACAAAAAACTTTTTGAATTTAGAAGCAGTACTTACACTAGATACAAGTAATGGTTATTGGGCACCTGTATGTACAAATAGTATTTTTACAGTTGGATCTACCAATGTTATTCCTGTATATAATAATTACATTGAAAATAATTCAGCCACTTTAATAACTGCAACTGAACTAGAATTATATGCTATAAGAGACCTATAGAATATTGTTACTACTACGCTTAGAACTCGAAGAGATCCAGATTTTATTAAGAAATTAAACGCATGCGCATTAAAACAAGAAAAATAAGTTAAATAATTTTCTTGTGTATATAAAAAGAATGAATCAAGAAAATAATAATGAGAATAATAATTTTTTAATAAAAAACATAATTGAACCTTCATCTCAAATATATTATATTACTGCAATATTAAAAAAATATGGGTATAATCAATGTAATAAAGTTAATTTTGCTGTAAGTATAGGCAGAAATGATCTTATTAAATTATTAAATCAATTAGGTGAAAAAGGAGATCTTAAAGAAGTACAATATGTACAATATGTACATTCATTAGGTTATAAAGATATAAATGATGCAATAGATAATGTTGTAAAAAATGGTCACCTTGAAGCAATTAAATATTTACATGAATTTGGATATAGAGGAGAAGAATGGACAATTAATTATGCTGTAAAATATGGTCATCTTGAAGTAGTTAAATATTTACATTCATTAGGTTATAAAGGAAAAAAAGATACAGTTTATTGTGCTGCAATGAATGATCACCTTGAAGTAGTAAAATATTTAATTGAATTAGGATATGAATGTTATGAATGGATAATTAATGATGCTGAACGTAAAGGAAAAAATGCTGAACAACTTCTTAAAGTATTAATAGATTTACATTCTATTGGATATAAAGGTACGGAAAAAGCAATTTTTCATGCTAAATTAGCTGGTTACCTTGAAGCATTTGAATATTTACATTCAATAGGATATAGATACAGTTGATAACGCTTTTAGAAACAGCAAGAAAAGTCACATGACCTGTGACGTCATGCAAGAAATTTTCGTAACATTTTGTAACAAGAAATAAAAATTAACACTTATTTTAAAAAAATTGATTTTTCAAATTTATATAAATTTGAAAAATTATTTCTTATCGAAATAAATTATATACAATATGGTTAACATTGAACCCTATATTAATATTAATTTATGGTTGAAAATATGGTTAAAAATGAAAATGGCCCAGAACCGGCAATCTCTTACTAGTGAGCTGGATAGCCAAGAAAATCTTTGTTTCATCTTTAGTTGATAAAAAATTGACTAAAAGAAAAACTACTGGAAGGGCTAATACAAGGCGAAGTATTACAAAAGTCTGTTATTTAAAATTAGATAAAAACATAATGAGAGTACAAAATGAGAGACTTTTTTAGGAACACTGGGTATTAAAGAATGGACAGTTATTGGCTCGGAGAAAAATCTAATAGGGCTACAACAACAAAATGTAATGATAATGCATGGCCTTGCCATTCATTATCATTGCCAAAAAATAGACAGAGAGTGATTTCCAGAAAACTATATGAAGATGTTTTGAAAGATGAAAACATAGCTATGTTTTAACCAAAGAAAGATGCATGCGATGTTTTTCATATAAAACAGGAAATATTACTGTGCTAGAAAATCAACAACATTACGGAAAGATTTAGCTAAGCAGGAAAAAGCTTATGACAAAATAGCTGAGAAAAATGGAACAATTCACGTTATCACTGCTGATTTACAGGCAGTAAAATTATGACCATACTTGAAAACCAGTGCATTGTATTTTAAAACAAAACTGATGGTTCATAATTTTGCAATATACAATCTTGGTACTAATAAAGTAAAGTGTTATTGGTTTGATGAAACAGTAACTGATTTAAATGCATCAACTTAAGCGTCAATTATTGTTGATTATTTAAATAAAATAATTGATGAATCCCCAAAAGATGTCATAATTTTTACTGATGGATATAAATCACAAAATAGAAACGCCATTGTTTCAAACGCATTTCTGTAATTGGCAATGCAAAAAAAAAGAAGTCATCACACAAAAACTTTTAAAAAAAGGGTCATACTCAAATGGAGGTAGATTCAGTTCATTCGGTAATAGAAAGAAAGTTAAAACACTGTGAAATATGTTAATCTAGTCAATACTCTTAGTTACCAAAGAAGCTAGACACAATCCATCTCCTTATGAGGTAGCAATGGTAGACCATACATTTCTTAAAGATTATCCCAGCCAACATCGACATACGGGTACCAGCTGGGTCCCGTATGGAAAGACCAACGGTATCCCGCCGGATCATGGCCGCGGTTTCTATACGGGGCCAATATGGGTGAGCCCGCTGGGTATCCCGTAAGGGTCTAAGTCAAATCCCGTACTTTAAAACCGTTAGGGGCCCATTTTGGTTTGCAAATGGGACCCGCATGAGAAACCCATCGGGAACCCGTCGGATCTTGGCCACGGTTTTTCTCTGGGGCCCATATGGGTATGCCCGCAGGGTATCACGTGAGGGTCCCACGAGGTTTACCCATTGCATATTTTGCAAAACCACTTTTAAATGTTTAAAATTTACAGAAAAAGCAAATTTATATATAACTTGATTAGTTTATTTCAAAAAAATAGTAATTAAAATTTCACTGTCGAAATTAAGCAAACTTTTAAAAGATTCTTTATAATCATGTCTTGAATGCTTTTTCACGGTTATCTCGGGAATCGGTAGCTCTTCGATTGTTGTTAAAACGACTTCTTTGAAAACCTCTTTACACAATATCTCGTTTCAATATGAGCTGTAAAAAAATTAAATTTAACTGTTAGTTTTAAACTTTATAGGTAACACAAACATTATTTTTAATATGTTATAAAACTCGATTTCTCCCAACACACTTCAGATAAAAAATGTAATTTTCACGATCGAAGGTAGAAAAACATAACCTTTACTTTTATAATCGAAGTTTATTTCAATGTTTTAAAATGTACTTGTAATAGATAAACTCATGCTTGTGATTCATATAATAAATTGATAACATTCCTTTAGTTACTGATAAATAAATTATATAAATACTATCAAATAAATATAATTTTATATTTATAATGCATATAATTTGATATATATTGTATATAACTTATATATATATATATATATTTTTTAATTATCTTTGCTTCCAACAAGGTTGCAAGCAACCACTAATTAGTGTTGGAAGTTACTGGAAGAGAAAAGATGAAGATTGTAGAGCAAGATAACGATTGACAGACGACTTAAAATATTGCAAATTATATGAATCAGGAAAGCAAGATGAAGGAAGCGAATTCCAAAGAACTGATGTTCGAGGAAAAAAACTAGACGAATAAAGCCCATTCTCCATTCAGAACTTTTTGCGCTTTGGAGGAGCGGAAAAGTTCTTTGAGCATGCGCAAAAAGTTCTGATTGGAGAATGGGCTTAAAAAAAACTGTTTGCGCATGCTCAAAGAACTTTTACGCTTCTCAAAAGCGCAAAAAGTTCTGAATGGAGAACGGGCTTAAGAGTTTTTGGAGCACTTAGGAACAGTAACAGAAAAAGGATGAGACTTAATTGAATGACGAGTAACACGAGAATGAATTTTAGTAGATGGCACAAGAGACGCTAGCTCTTTAGAGCAGTGCCCATTATAGTATTTGTAGAAAAGAGAAAGAGAAGCAACATTACGACGATGTGACATGACGATGTTGAAGGTTGGCTGCAAGAGCAGGTCCAACTATGTTTACAATGCGTTTTTGCACCTAGTCTAAAAGAGAAAGGGCATCATTACAGTGCCGTATCTACTACATCATACAGTGCCGTATCTGCTAGATACAAGCCCCTTCCCATTAAAAAAAAAAACCCCCGTCATAAGGGCCCCAAAATTCTAAAAAGTTGCAAATTCCTCAAACATAACCTATTTGTCAAAAGATTTGTCTGCTTTTTAAAACCTTTTATCTTAACAATTTTATTTTGTATTTCAAATCACTTTCATTAGCTGAAACAAAACACTCTAAAACTTGATAATTTTTAAACTGGAAACATTGTATCAATGCAACGATTACTACCATCAAAAAAAAAATACTTAACTTCTGTTTATCTTCTTGTGCGTGTTTATTTGAGCAACTCTTTGGTCTTTGAACAAGCTTTTTTAAATGGCCTGAAAAAGTTTCGTATTTGAATGAGGAACATCTACCACGTACTTAAAATTTAACTGCATTATTTCCGATATGTGCTAATAAATGGATATAGTAAACTAATTAATCCTTATGATAAAGTTCATCAATAAAACTTTACAAAATAAGTAGCTGACAAGCAAAATTGATATATTTTTCCAACAAAATAAAACATTATGAAATTAGAACTGCAACTGAAAGATCTAAAAAGTTTGAATAGACTTTTGGCTAAATTATTCTCTTTAAAAAACTGGCCCAGTGTATACTAGAAATAAAGTATTGACTGCAGGGTTGCAAAAAAACCGTTTTTTTTGAAAAAAACTAAAAACCATAGGTTTTTTAAAAAAAAACAAAAAAACTATGGTTTTTTTGGTTTAAATTATGTTTTTACTAAAAAATGCGGTGTTTAGTTATCTTTTTAAATTAAAAAAAGCATAGCGTATTTCATTTGAGTAAACTATATTCTTTGCCAATATTATTGCTATATTTCATCAAAATTATTTAATATATCATTGTTTAATGTTTTGTATATAAACACAAGCTTTGCTGCTTTTTCTACTCCCAATCGGTTTCTTAACTTAGAATGAACAAAACCAAAAGTTTAAAAAATTCTTTTGATTCCAGCACTAGAAGCTGGTGCATTTAATAAACCTTCAATATCCATTATGTTATAGTAGATTTGGCTTTTAATTTGAATAATATTGGTAACAAATTCTTGAACTCTTTATCTGCGAAATTCATGGCAGCTTCATTTTCATTTTCAGAAATATTAGATCCAAAATATCTAGGATCTAGTGTGTTAGCCAGTTTACCCATTCAATACATTACATTTTTTCAATTTCTTCTGTGTAAACCCTATTTAATATTTCTCCCCTAATTTCTGTTCTATTAGGTAGAGTGTATCCTGGATGAAGCATATTGATAATATATATCTATATTGAAGATTAGTTATATTTGTGAACATAACCCTGTCTTAGTTTCCTGTTGTTAGTTCAAATTTTAAAAAAAAAACATTAGTTTGGTTTAAACCAACATTTTTTTAATTGGTTTAAACCAATGGTTTAAACCATTTGGTTAAAACCATGCAACCCTGATTGACTGTTATCTAAGACAATTTACAACATTTGGGCAATTTAACCATAAGTTAATGAGTCTTCACATACCCCTAAGCATACTAGATGCATAAAGTCTAAATAAAACTTTGTCACTGTGTCAAAAGTTAATTCAATTTAACACACCACTAAGATGTTCAGAATGCTTTTGATGACAAAAAATCTGAATCAGCACTTAAAATTAGTGAAATATTTGGGAGTATTATCTTTCCACACAATTTTGTCCCTTAAAACACTTAACAAATGCTCTAGCTGGTGCATCACATATGATAACAGCAAGATTGATTTTCAAAATTTTCTTAGATAAAACCATCTTTTGCAAGAACTTTGAAATCTACCAAAAAATTATGCAGATAATTAAGGTAACCAACTATACTCATTTACTGAGTTTTGTATTCTTTTTTCACTAACTTTTTTCAAATCCTGTACTTTGAAAGTAATCATATGTATAATTTTGTTTTTAAATTTGTATTTTTTTTAGATTATTTCATTTTTTTAATTTAATTCATTTCAATTTTATTAATTTAATATTAAAAATTATTTTGACAGTGAATTGAATTTCACGCACGCATATTGCTTGCTGTTTCCGACGCATTAGAGAACAGGGCATACACCAGACTCAAGTTTGACAGTGTTTTGAACTTTGAGCGCACATATGGCTTCCTTTTTCAGCACAATTGAGAGGCTATATTATGTACCTGGAGAGATAGATAGATACTACAGACCTCTTTTTCTAATAAAGTCAAAATTACATTTGTGAAAAGAGATGGATATATCTCTCCAATATTTGTGTATGTAATCCCCAGGCTGATCTTGAATGTGCAGCATGTACGGCATCCTTGACAGTCTTGACGTATGCGTAGTATGTATGACAAAGTTTTTTTTATCCATTTACTTAAATGGATAAAAAAACTTTGCCGTATATACTACACATGCACTTATGGTTAATTAACCATACAATCAAAAAATAAAACTTAATTTTAATTAACAAATTTAGGTTCAGTGTCAATCATATTAAAAACTAGTCAATAGAGCAACACCTTAATAAAATAAAAAAATATTAAAACAAAGAAATAATAAAGTAAACTACATTAATACAAGAAATAAAAAAAGAAGTATAAGGAACAACAATATTAAAAAAGTTGGAATTAGAACAAAAATATAAAGGAGTAACGCTAAGAAAAATCAAATAAAAAAAGAGAGAATGAACGAATGAGATAAGATGAGTGAGAAGATATGTAAGAGAAAACAAAAATTTAATCACATAAGTTCAGAAGGGTAGAGTGACAGAAAACAAATTTTGCAGAAAAATATAAACAAGCAAAATAAAAGCAAATTTAAATTAAAAAATATATACATACACTACTACATACAATATTAAAGGCTATATTAAATTCTATAAACTGACCGTTTTGAAAGATTCCAATCCCGGAATAAAAAATGAATTTTTAAAAGAACTTAAAAATTTTTATAAATTTTGCTATGAATATATTGAAGAATGTATAGTGAGCTTTAGAGAATTGAATTCTTTCAAATGGACCCTTCTAAAAAGTAAAATTGAATGAAAACAAGTTTCTTCAGCAGTCAAATTTGTTATGAAGGAAGTAAAAGATATTGTTATTAATGACAATTTTCTCTTTGAAGAAATTCAAATAGTAAATTTATATTTAAATGAAGAAAAATTGAAGAAATGGAACAATAAGAAAATAGAATTTAAAAAAAAAGGGGTAGAAATCTTTCGGCATTTTAGAGTAGAACATATCCCACAAGAAAATTTAAAAGTTTTAATAGAAATTTCTTTGTGTTGTGCAAGCACTAATGCTGCTGTTGAAAAGGTATTTTCACTAAGGAATTATTATTGGAACAGTGAGAAGTCGCAACTTTCTATAAAAACATTATCTACGTCTTAACAGTCATATTTAATACGGAAAATGAAAGTTGTTCGGATGTGGCTACATTATTAGACGAACATCCTTATTTACCAAGAAAAAAAGTTTTTATCGTTTTTTTTTCTATTTTTATCGTTTTTTTATCTATGAAATACTTGCAAAGTGTACTCTTTTTGAACAAAAAATAGTTGGTCTCCTTAAGATAATTAAGAATGGAATTAAATTTTTGGGCACTGCTTTTTAAACAAATCTCTAAATTAAATCTGTAAAAACCCAATTCGGATCTCCTAATATTGAGAGTCCTAGGTCTAGGCTCTGACGGCAACATTTATAAATAGCAACAACTTTTGGCAAATTTTATTTAATATTTTTAACATGTATGTTTACATTTTTTCACTATTTTAGATTTTGATTGAATAA